GTGAGGAAAAAGGCAGAATGGGAATGGGGACCCTAGTAGGAAAAGGGTTTTGAAGCAGTGAAAGCCCTAGTGACTGAACAAATGGAAGTGCACCCACTGTTGCCAGGACCCGTTGAGTTGCACGTCTCAGTTAGTCAAGGGGTAGTTTTATGGAGCTTATGGCGGCTTCAAGATGGTTGGCATCAGCCCCTTGGCTTCTAGTTACGGCAATTAAGTGGGGCTGCCACATGATATACCATCTTTGAACAACAGTTGTTAGCCATGTTCTGGGAATTAGAGGAAACCGAACCTCATACTTCTGGTCATGAAGTGTTGCTTAGGACAGAGAGTCTTATTATGACTTGGGTCCTAAGCAATCCTTCCACTCATAAGAAGTGCCAGGAAGCCAGGATTCCACATTCCCAGGAAGCCACTATACAAAAAATGAGATGGCACATACAAGAGCTGGCAAAGTAGGGACCAAAAGGAGTGCAGTATTTACATAAATTGGTAAGTGACAGAGTGACTGGGGCCCCCAGACCACTAAACTGCAAACAAGTAAATTACCAGACTGCCAGATGAGGTCACCCTTATGAGGAGTTGACAAACGAGCAGGGCAAGACTGCCTGTTTCACAGATGGAAGTAGTAATGGTACTAAGAAGCAGCACGCGGTGACATTTAATCCCACTACCAAAGCATGCTTGTCAATGGAGGGAACCTCAGGCAGTACCCAGTTGGCAGAATTGGTTGCAGCCTGGCAAGCCATTGACGCAACCCTGGAGGGAAGAATATGTTATCTATTTACAGATTCCTGGGCAGTGGTGCAAGGGCTGGTGAATTGGTTAGGTAAATGGCAGCAGGATGAATACAAAATAGGGACCAAGGAGGTGTGGGGGAAGGAGTGTTGGCAGAAAATATGGGATGCTTTACGAACTATGGTGATCCAAGTGCATCATGTGGATGTGCACAGTACTGCAACAACAGAAACCATGCAGTGGAACGCAGAGGTTGACAAGCAGGCTCATGTACATAGCATAGAGATAGACCAAGAGGAACAGATGGTCCTGGTCCAATGAGCCCATGAGAAAGCAGGGCATGCAGGTAGGGATGTCACCCGAGGCATGGCCCAGGGGGTGCTGCTGTCTCAGAATACAATAGAACAAGTTATTGCAAACTGTTCAGTCTGTCGATTACTAAAACAGGCCAAGGTGTTCTCTACTCCCATGGGAAAACTGCAATGGGGATTAAAGAGAGGAGAAATTTGGCAGATTGCTCAGGTAAGGGTCCGATAAAATCACAGATGGCAATGTTATGCCTGTGTAGCTGCAGACACCTTTTCCAGTGTCATCGTAGTAATTCCCACATGGTATTCAAATGCCCATGCGACGGTTCGTTGTTTAGAAACCATTGAAATACATTATGGAACTCCAGTAGAAATCCAGTCAGACAACAGAACACATTTGAAGAACGCAAAGGTAGCTCAATGGGCCCATTAATGTAATATCACCCAGACCTGGCATTTACCCCACCATCCGTAAGAGGCAGGATTAGTAGAATGAATGAACAGGTTGCTAAATTCACAGTTGAAACATTTGGGAGGAGGTACATATTCTAAATGGGTTGATCATCTAAGTGGGGCCTGATGCACTTTGAATCCTTTGAATTTAATGAAAGGAGAAACCTGGGAAATTGGTCAGGTAGCTCATGGTTCAATCACAATCCAGGGAGCAAAGGATTATGTAGTATACTCTGAAAAAGGAAGTTTAGTAATGATTCGAAAGCAACCCTTAGACTTACAGGCAGAACAAATACAATGGGAGCAAACAGATGTGGTAATCCATGTGCAACCTAGTGCAGGGGTACTTATGCAGATAATAACATTGCATCCTGATCTAAAGAAATTAGATATCCACCTAGTAAATCCTGTACAAACAGATGTTAAAAAGCCCATTCTGTTAAGCCTGAGGAATACATCTAACTGGAAACAGATCCTTCCTGCTGGAACCTGGTGTTATATTTATTATGTCACAGGCTTGGTAAAATTAAGTGGCCCTGCTCTCCGGTTCACGGGTGGGAAAGTATGTTATCAGAAGCCAGGTAGTTTGGCTCTGATGCCAGCCGAGCTCCTAGCTGCAGATGATTCTCATGCAGTCACCATTATCTGTCCTGGGTCCATTCAGTGGCTTAGGGTTCCAGCAGAACACTTATGACACCACCCAGGGGGAGGGGCAAACCTGTTTTCATTTTGGCTTTCAGACTTTCATAATTCACCTGTCATCCAGCCCATAACTAACGTGTGCAACACTCTCGCCAATATCACCTACCACGATACCTTATGTGTAAGTACTGCTATGTCATCGAATTCATTTTCAACATGTTTCATTGGAGTGCCTTTAACAGAAGGAGAATTGAAGGAGGCAGTGAACTTAAGTTTATCAGATGTGCAGCAGACAGCCTTCTGGAACTGGAACAGTAAACAAAATTGGGATAGCTGGTTACCACAGCAGGAAAGACTCCAGTGTTACCTCCTAAAGAGTTAAGTCTCCTGGGGACCATACCTGGGAATGCCTGTTGTACTTCCTTTAACTATACTGGACGGTTTGTAACATATAATAGTATTATGGATGTAGGATCAACTAATACTGTGTATAGAAATCATAGTTTGTGGTGTAAAACCCAAAGTCGTATGGTCACTATGTCTTTTAATTCACCCATGTCCCTGTCATCTGGGCTCTTTTTACTGTGTGGGGATAGACCTTGATATGGCATCCCTGCTGCAATTAACGGAAGTCCATGTACTTTCTGAAAATTAACTTTGTTACAACCCAATGCTACGGCACTGGCGTTAAAGTCTTGCAAATGCCAGAAAAGGTCCCATGAATTCAATGCCAGCTGTGACAGTAATGTTGACTTCTGGAATACAGAACGAATTATTCTGTCATCCTTCTTTGCTTCTGGAGTGGCATCAGCACGGGTATGTGCCATCTTACAGAAACTTGGATGTTGGTGAGTGAAAGAGAATAACGCCACCACTGATGCTAATCAGAATCTGTTAACCAATGTGGACTCCATTTGACATGTCACTCTTCAAAATCGAGCAGCTATTGACTTTCGCCTACTAGCTCATGGACTTGGCTGTCAAAATTTTGATGGCATGTGTTGCATGAATATATCTGATCATTCTAAATCTATTCACATTCATTTATCTGATTTGCAAATTTTATCTAGGCAACTGCAGGTAGAGGATAGCTGGAACCACTTCTGTAATCTCAGATGGGGATGGCCTTGGCTCCAAAAATTACTCCATTTTGGACTTTTATTATTAACAATATTTTGTTGTATTATATGTTGTATATCTTTATTATTCTCTTATATTCAGTGAATGATAACTAGTTTTTCCACTGGAGGTTCGTACGATTTGTTTCGGGGACAATCCACACACGGACCACATGGTGGCATGTGTTAGGCTAGCCTAACACATGAAGTAATGGTCTGTGGTGGCTCCCCACCCCCCCCTTCGGTGTGTCCTGCTTTAGCTCCTCCCCAGAAGGTCCTGCTTTGGTTCCTAGTGGGAAAGTCCAGCTTTGGTTCCTACCCTGAAAGCTCCGCTTTAGAACTCCTCAGAAAAGTCATGACCCTTGGAGACCTTTCTAGATATTGTGGGCCACTTCTTCCGATGTAGGTTGGCCCACTGCACCAGAATGAGTCTGCAGTTCTGTCAGTCTAAAAGTCTGAGCCTCATGCGATGTGAGGTTGCAGAACTTTGTGCCATCCAGGTCAACATTGCCTCTGGGGGCATGCCCGCCACAGTAGAGCCTGCCTCCTCACACTGCGATGTTGATCCTCAGAGCTGGTTTCCTGATCGTCTTCACAGGGTCCTTGGGGTTGGTAATGTATGCAGTCTTCGGAAGTATCCTTTACTGTATCTGTTAGAGTCTCTACATTTTCCTATATTAATAAACTAGTTGTGAGTTCTCCATTTGTCTTTTTCTCTCATCTGGAGATAATAAAAAGTACTTTTACAAATATATTAGCAATAAAAGGAGGGCCAAGGAAAACCTCCATCCTCTACTGGATAGTAGGGGAAACCTAGCGACTGAGGATAAGGAAAATGCTGAGGTACTCAATGCAGCCTTTGCTTCAGTCTTTAGCAGTCACACTAGCCACCCTTGGGGTACTTTTTTATAGTCTTATGAGGAAAGGCTGAGAGACCTGGGGTTGTTTAGTCTGGAGAAGAGACGGCTCAGGGGGGACCTTATCACTCTCTACAACTACCCGAAAGGAGGTTGTAGTGAGGTGGGTGCTGGTCTCTTCTCCCAAGGAACAAGTGATAGGACAAGAGGAGGTTTAGATTGGATATTAGGGAAAATTTCTTCATTGAAAGGGTGCTCAGGCATTGGAACAGGCTGCCCAGGGAAGTGGTGGAATCACCATCCCTGGAAGCATTCAGACTGTACGTAGATGAGGCCCTCAGTGACATGGTTGAGTGGTGGTCTTGGCAGTCCTGGGGTAATGGTTGAACTTGATGATCTTAAAGGTCTTTTCCAACCTAGCTGATTCTATGGCTCAAAGATTTAAACAAGGTTACTCTGCCCCCCTGTCTGCATATCAGAGGGGATTTTCCAAGATCATGCCACAAATGTGCTTTGCATTAACTAAATGACCATATCTCCACTGCCTTTCCATTGAAAATTTAGGTGTAAGACACCTCCCCCAGTGAAAACCTATGCACTCCCGCGGGTTCAAGAGCGCTTCCTTAAACCTGTAGTATGGATGATCTGGAGTTCTTTGCGGGCTTCTTTTTGTGGTCAGAATGAACACGAAACACTCAAACGCCTACTCCGGCAGGAGCCCCAGGGCCTTTCATGTGCCTCTCAACAGCACCGCGCTACAGCAAGACCTTCCCCTTATCCCGCTCCTTCAGCGCTGGCCAATCAGAGAGCTTTCCCCTCAGGGCGCACCCCCGCGACCGAAGTGAGCCGAGCTGCTTCGTCTCTTTCCGTCAGCGGAGGCCCGGTAACTTCCGACTGCACCAGAAGTTAGCACCGAGGCTCTTCGGCAGCTTCCGGAAACCCGGAAGGGAGGAGGTCGAGCTCGTTCGGGTGTTTCCGTCACGGTCAGGGTTGGAGAAAGAAGGGCTCCCGAGCTCCCGTCTCGACCGGTCATGTGGCTGCTCTCGCGAGCTCTCCGTGTGGCGCAGGGCTGCCGTGCCGCCGCGCTGCCCCATCGGAGCCGCCGAGCAGCGCCGGGCAGGGGCAGCGTGGCGGGGACATGCCTGCTGCTGCCGCGCTGCGGCCTGAGCGCCCGGCCCGGCCTACAGGAGTTGTTTGCCGGCCCCGCCTTGCGCCGCCTGCTGGAAGCGCGGGGCGCGGGCGGGGTGGGGCCGGAGCTAGCGGCGCGGGTCCGGCGGCTGCGCGACAAGGAGCAGGAGCTGTGCGAGACGCGGAAGCTGGCGCGGCAAGGTGCGGAGCCGTGAGGGGCGGGGACACCATTAGCATGTGCTAGCGCAATTGGCAGTGAGGCACGGGGTGGTGGGAGAGCACTGAAACGTGGGAGGTGGAGGAGGAGTGGGGGGAGTTGCGGGACGGCTTCGTCGTGCCTTCCATAGCCTAAGGTGGAGGCCTGTATGCAGGTGCGTGTCAGCTGACGCTTGAGGGAAGAGCAACAGCATCAGTGTCAAGTAAAATAATGATAATACATCTGGCAGAGAAAACGTCTTTTTTTTTTTTTTTTTAATTATTTTTTTCTTGGATGTAGGCCTCAGCATCAGTTCGTGCTGCCCCCACCCTGCGGTTTAACTTTATTGCGTTAGCAGCTACACGCTGTTAGAGTTTCCAAATAGTGAATATTTTTTACCCTGAATCAAACTTCATTTTGGTAGCAGTTAGAAACCAAGATGCAGGAGAGGAGTACTGCAAGATCAGTAAGCACTCACTGGATCATGAAATGTTCCCTAGATCCGTACTTTGCTAAATACTGAATAATCAAAAGCGTTAACTCAGTTTTCTGACTAATGTAGATGGCAGACACTGCGTAAAAGTAAATTTTTTTAAATTATTTTTATGCAATTCATTCTGTCCGACCTCAGACTGAAAAAGGAGAAATAGTGTCTGTGAACAAACTAATCATTGACTCAAACTTACTGAATGAAATGGAATGGAAGATAATTTTTTTTCTCCTTTCAGAACCTGCTGAAGAAGACAGTGCCATCAAAACCAGGTTTAGAACTTCAGCATAGTGAAGTGGTCACAAGGGCTTAATCAGTAACTTTAAGCACTTCTGTAGCTCATCCTTTAAAATATTTCTGTATGTTATTTTAAACTGATTTTAGAGCCTATATTACATTTGCATCTTAAAGTATGCAACTGCTGTTGTATTAGATTATTTCTTAACTGCATAATAATAATTGCATATCAGTAGCTGGCTTGACTCAGATAGATTTCTGATGCTTTAATTCTTATTCTTCCTTACGTTAGCCTTAATGACTAGCACTTGATCAGTCAGTAGGTATTGTAAGAAAATAAAGAGAATTGGAGATGATCAAGTTGACATGTTTGAAGAGTTACAGTCAGTCAGCCATGCGTGCTCTCAGCCAGCTGTAGGTAAAGCATACTTGATGTTGAAACCAATTTATGCATTATTATCTTATTTTCTTTCCTTCTTACAGAAGGGGTGGGGTGTGTAATTCATCAATATTAAACCTAAATTGTAAAGTCAAAAAGTTTCTTTTAACATTGTGCTAGTGACTAAATGCCATTATAGTGCTAAAAAGGTGTGGCTTTATTATAAGTGCATCTCCTGTCTCTACTGAATGCCTTTAAAAGCTTGCTGTACACAGAAAAAGAGTCTAGCATCTTTCTTTTTCTTGTTTTGCTGCTAACTGTGCAGTTAGGTGTTGCTGTGCCTGCCCTAGTTCTCCCTTTTCTACTGTGTGTACCATTTTCTCCTTTTTGGGGGAATATTTTTTTCTTCTGAGCAAGTGAGCTGTATCAGTGCAGATCAGAGGCTGCTTAAGATACTGATTAAAAAAAAGACCTTTTTTGGGGGGGTGTAGTGATGTTTGATAATGACCAGGAAAAAAAAAAAAGGAACATTTTACCATATCAAAACTACTACAGAAAAACAAGCATTAGTATTGATCAGTCAAGTAAAACTTGACTTATTATGTAAGGTTGTTTCCATAACTTTGTTTTTAGTGATGTGTTGGAAGATTTGCAGCTGCTTTGGAATAAACTGTCAGAGATAAAATACTTTAAATTACTACTAACTGTCTTCAAATTATTACATACGATGATAGGGGTAAAAGTCCTTTTAATGAAGAGTTTCTATTGTGGGGCTGCTGTGCTGTTTAAATCCTTGGATGTTCGTATTACACTGAAACACAGAAAGTAATTTCTTAGCATCGCAGAATGGATGAGGTAGGAAGTGACCTCTGGAGATCTCCTAATCCAAACCCCTGCAGAAGCAGGGTGCTCAGGGTTGTGTCAGTTAGGGCTAGAATATCTCCAAGGCCAGAGACTCCACAGCCTCTTTGAACAACCTATGCCACTACCTGACCGCTAGCACAGCAGTTGCTAGGGCTTGTTGTTGTGTTAGGTGTTGTGGGGTTTTTTTTGTGTATTTTTTTTTTGTTTTGGGGGTTTCAGGTTTTGTTTTTTGTGTGTTTTGTTGTTGTTTTTTTTTGTGGGGTTTTGTTTGTTTTTCTTTTGGTTTTTTTTATGTTTAAATGAAACTTCTTGTATTCTGGATTTTCCAGTGTCTCACATCTGAACAATATCTGGAAGTACTCTTAATATATCCTGTGTATTTTTGTTGCAGACTGTATTATTAACCTCTTTTTCTGACAGGTTTAGTGTGTTGGGGAGATGGATGGATTTAGGGTTTGGTTTGGGGGTTTTTTTTTTGTTCATTTGTTTGGGTTTTGAGTTGTTTTTTGGTTTTATTTGTTGGGGATCTTTTTGGTTTTGTGTCTTTTTGTTGGTTTTTGTTTTTTTGGTTTTTTTTTTTTTTTGAGCAAGTTGTTCATGTAGTTATTTTTCAGAAGGTTTTTGACAGTGACACCGGTACAAGTCTAAGGATTAACTATACCAAAATATTCCAGATGAGAGTGAAGATTTGCGGAAGCTTGCAGAAAAGGAAATTGCTACCTGTGAGGAAGAGATAGCTGAACTGAAACAGCAGGTTAGATACCCTTTAAAAGCCTGTATTTTCTTGGCATTCTTTAAATTAACAAAGCCAAATTGTCTTCTCATCAAAATAAGATATATACGATAAACTCTTCTCGTTCCCTCCCTGCCAATAATACTTCTCAATTAGCATCTGTTATCTAAGGAAAATGAAAAATGCAGATGGTATGGAGACAGCCTGAAACTGTTTGAATCAATTCATCTTTATAAGTACAGCTTTTCTTGGCTGAGCGTAGCTTTATGGATGCCTGGCTTTTTTATCTGTTGGAAGTGTTAGACTTGTGTAGTATGATCCACACTAGTGTTTTGGCGGTTTTTTTTTTAGTAAGTTAATACTATGTAACTACTTTAGACTGCTACCTTATATAGTTCTACATAGTACCTATGTTGTTTAACAGTAGTGATCTTCACATAAACAGTTACATAAACTCATGTTACTGGTGAAGTAGAAGCTGGGATTGTCGCATTCTTTATTCCTTCAACAACAATGCAAGAGTCACTTTATAGGTACTTTTGTAAATATTTATGATTTTGACAAAAGGAGAAGTCTGTGGAACAAAACATCACCTTAATGCTAGTAAGGTAAGATGATTGAAAAGCATTTGTGCAAATCATCCAGTTTTGATCCAGCCTGCAAACTTGTGATATAGTTTTTTGGTTCTAGCTGTCTTCTACAGATCAAGATAAGGCTGGCTCTCCCTTTTTTAGTAAAGAAATTAATAATACAACTCGGTTGTTGTTGGACTGTCTTCCTGAACACCCTTACGTTCTTAGCTCTGCAGTGGAGACCAGGTTTAAAGGGAATCTGATGAGAAGGGAGAGGCTCATCTGGCTTGCAAGAACCAGTGTGTATCCTGTGGTGTCCAAACAATGCAGTGCTCCTGATGGATAAAAATCCCTGTAAAGTTTTGTAGGTCTTGAAAGAGACTGATGTAGGTCCAACAACTGTGAACAGACACAGGGAGCATCCCTCCCCCACCTCTTCCTCACTGCTCACTCATCACTGCAAGAGCATGAGAAGCCTGTCCTCCCAGCAACCAGCACGTTAGTACAGAAGAATGCAGCCTAGATTGATTACAGGCTTGTCTGGCATTTTTTACTATCTCAGCAGTGAATAGCAGTGTCAGAGGGAAGTCTTAGCTGGGTATTCTTGTGTTCGCAGATAGTGTTCCTTTTGATTCCTTCAGAAGAAACAGATGAGAGTGATCTTGTCATGGAAGTAACCGCTGGAGTTGGAGGGCAGGAAGCCATGCTGTTCACCTCGGAGATATTTGATATGTATCAACGATATGCTGCCTATAAAAAGTGGAAATTTGAAATATTAGAATACTTTCCCAGTGAAATAGGTCAGTAATGAAAATACATAATCTTTGTAACTTTTTAATTTAAGTTGAAACACTCGTTCATTTGACACTTGCATTTCCTGACTAGAGGAAGCTAACTTGCACTAAGTTAATTTTTGAAGTGGAAGATTGTTTAAGTATCTGAGTACAATTTTTCTCAGCTTCTGTATTTGAGAAAATACAGAAATTTCATTTCAAAAGTACTATATGAAATACTAAAGTGCTAATAAATAAAATTTGTCTTTCAGTAGTTTCAAAAAGCAGAAATGAAACTAGGTGGTTGGCAGAAGAAGATTCAGAAAGTGATGTGCATATGTTGGTTTAGCTTTATAATTTTTTTTTACAAATACAGATTACATATACTTCTTTGGATATGCTATTTTACTTAGATGTTTGGAGTTTCTAGTGTTTCTAGATCAGTTTAGTGGCAGGCTGAAAATCTGTTTGTTATTATGAAAATCTATTTGTTATCCCTTGGCAGAGACGGATCAGTATAATTAAAACTATTCTTGAGATTTAATCTAGAACACCCAGAATTTATCTGAATAATGTCATCTGCAGATTTATGTAAGGAAATGGGATGTTTGGGTGTAGCTCATCTGTAACAGCTAATGGAAGAACAAAGTGGAGGAATTGTTGAAACTCTTAGAGAAGGGATAAGAGATCTAATTCTTTATGAAAGCCTTCAACTGAAGTTTCACAGGTAGTCAGTTTAACAGCTTGATGCCAGTAAAAGGACATGTTTCTCCTTTCTCCTTACTGCCTCACTGCCCGAGTCTGAGCAGTCCTACCTTTCCTTTTTTTTTTTTTTGATGTCCTTTCACTTAAACTGGCAAAGACTTTGCTTTTTATGACTGGGATAGTTTTTTGCCTAGTTGATGTATTAATTCAGTTCTCATGAGCCTTAGAGATAGCATAAGATAAGCAGCAACATAGAGCTGAATGCAAGTAGGTGGAAAAACTGGATCTTCTGGTGATGATGAGCTGTGAAGTTGGTTCACTGTTTCTCATAGAAAACAGTGTTCTTGCATCTCATGGAACAGTGTCTTTACAAAAATGGGGGTTGATAGGTTTACACAACAAACTGAGGCAGTAACATGTTAGTTGATTTTAGGTTAATCCAGTTAGTGTATAAAGTTGTTTCACAATGATCAGGCTGCTGTCTCTGTGTTACTGCTGACTTCTTTGCATTGCACTTGTGATTATGCATCTCTGCAGTCTCATCACCAAGTCAATCCAACTGAAAATACCACAGCCCTCTTCCCTCCCAACCCCCCTGATTAGTTTTAATGTAATTCAGCACAAGAGGAGAAATGCTTGTGGAGGGGTGGGGGCAGAACAGTGTGGTTACTGGTGGTGGCAGTAAGAAAACCAGGACCCCCTTCCAGCAGCAAGATGTTCAATTATCTTAAGCCAACTGTGAAACTGCAATCCAAAACATGCCCAACCAGTGACAGGGATTTGGGTTTTGATTGACAGATTGCTAGTCACGTTTCTCAGAAGGCTAGATTTGCTAAGTCTGTCTGTTTTAACGGATGCGCAGGCTTACTGTTATCCATGCTGCTGTGAGTAAAGCTAGCACATTTTGCTTACTTACATGTTGGTATGGAGGTAATGTATCATAGTGGGTATGGATCAGTAGACAGGCTCATGTGCAGCTTACTGCTCCTAACTCAGATTGGTTGTGAAACTCTACCTGTATTCATACTTTCATCAGCATTTTTTTTCCTTTGTTAGTGAAATGTTGAAGAAGAAATGAGGAAAGGTGATAGGATATGCAGTCTGTCAGAGAAACACTATTTTTTCAGTCAACACAATGTAATTACAGAGAGATTTTTAGCAAACTTTGAGAGAGGTGAAGCATCTTCTAACACCTCTGTTTCTTTTATGTTATATTGTGGACTCACTTATATTTTCAAGCATCTTGAACCCTTTCTGTTCCAACTGCATAGAAGTTAACAAAAAATAAATATGGAAAGCCCACACCCTGAGAGGCATTTTGTTTAGTGCCTTAAGTGGGAAATTGGGGTAATAAGTTAAACTAGTATATATCTAGCTATATTTTATCTTTGAAACTGCTAGGTTTTTAATGGCTGTATTTATTTTAAACTCTTGGGCTTGCTGAGGGTTTGCCTGTGCACAGAAATGAATGTTCAGGAAGGTAGTATGTAAATTTAGAGAAAAATAGTCAGCCTTAGCCTTTACTAGCCTCTTGCAGTGTTTTTTCTGATCTTACTTGCATGACCACATGTAACCAAAACTGAAGAGCTAGAAATAAATTAGGAGGCAGGGACACTATAGAATGCCACTGAAAGGGCATGTTTGAACCCCCAGGTTCAAATTGTCTGTGCTATGCTGAGTAAAAATTAAGTAAGGGGACTTGCTGGTGATACGAGGCTATTGCATCCCATCCACACTCCATGTTTGTGGAATGCATGAGCAAAAGAAATGTCCTACATGAAAACACTGAACTCCCACATTTCAGAGAGCTGCAGAATTTGGCTGAAATCTGAATGTGGACATTTGTGAACAAGGTGACTGTTAAACAAAGCTGCAATTAAGAATTGGTTCCAGTCCACACTTAAGTGACTTTATTCATGTACCCCAAGGAATGCCATTGTTCAAAATCAGCATGTTCAAGATTTACTGCACATGTTAAAGCACAAACCCACATGTCATTATTTCTCCACTGTCTCTGACACTGTAGTGGCAGACAAAGATATGGGACTTTGAATCTGGGTGTGAGATGCCACATGAAAAAAACGATGCAAACTCAAACCCTTGTTCTGTGAACATCAGTTTTCAGGCTGGAGAGGAACATCTTACTTGAAAGGGGCAAGCACATAGTAAGAGCTAACCTTTGACAAGCTAATGTCATGACATGTCTGCCAGGGTAGAGGGTTTGTTGAAATATCATTGGATTTAGCTGAATTTCATATTAAACCTGTGTTCATAGTAGTTGATTTGAAGCAGTATAACCTAAATACTTGACTTTTAAACCAGTTTCACAGTCATTTCATCTGAAGAACTATAGTGCTGCTAGCACACTGTTGTCTCTAGTAACTTAAACTCTCCTAAATGTCACAGAGGTGGCTGCAACTCAGACAGACAGCGTGCTTAAGTATTTAAGTGGTAAATTAATAGTTTTAATAAACAAATTACAATGATGTCTAAATACAGTGTTTAAAATATAACAGCATAGAACCAGTAAGTTTTTTTACAGGTTTACAGCTGGTTTTCTTCTGTATTTAAGGTGGCTTAAGGCATGCTGTTGCCAGTATAGCAGGTCTTGAAGCTTACAAGTACATGAAATTTGAAGGGGGAGTTCATCGTGTTCAGCGAGTACCAAAGACAGAAAAACAAGGACGCATCCACACCAGCACAATGACTGTTGCAATATTACCCCAACCGACTGAGGTAATATTTATCTTTTAGTGTAACAGACTTTGCTATGAGCAATGTTTTTACATGCTGTATTGCTAATACTCGTGTTTTCTGTCTCTCTTGTTATTCTTTTTTAATGATCTTTTTAAATCTTAATTTTAAGCTAAATCGTATTTGTTCGTTTATTTCACTTTGTGTCTAGGGTGTGAAATAAAGAACTTCTGTGTTTTCTCGTAATCATAATCTCAAGAAAGTCACTGGCAGTTTACTTCACTGTAACTTGAAAATTCACTCATCTCTTGCATTTTTGTAGGCTTTACATTTTTTGCAAAGTAACAAAAGACTGAATTAGTTTACAGAGCTCAAAGAGATTTCTTTTAGCACCTCCTCTTCCCCATTTTTGTGGTGTCCTCACTTTCCAGAGTGTATAGATAATAACTAATTTTCACCATGTTTGCTTGGTTACAAACAACTGGCTAAGAATTAAAGCTTTGCTTTGGTCTTTGTTTCATGTTGACCTAGCAAACAGTCAAAGATATTACTACTTCCTGTTCTCTTCCAAAGTTGTCTTGCTCCTTCCAGAGACCATCACCCCATCCCAGAGCCAAAGGGAATTATCTTCCATTTTATCTAAAAACCATCTGGTCAAGTTCAAATATTGGTTAGCTGTTCTAGAAGAGGGTGCAGAGCTTTCAGAAGAGGGGGAAGATCAGTGCTAAAGGATGGTTATGCCGTAGGCTACTAATCGTTTGATTTCCCAGTTTCCATCATGTTGCATTCCAATTTGGCTACAAGGATTTGTTAACATGTTTATACATGGAAGAAAGCTACCACTCATAAATTAAAAAGTTTGATCTTGCCTGAATGTGCCTTATAAAATAAACCAGCTTTACATATCTGACACCTGCCTGGACAGAAACAACATAAATTTGTTCTTTCTGTCTTTTTTTTCCCATCTCCCGTGACAGATGAAGCTGCAAATTAATCCAAAAGATCTACGGATAGAAACAAAGCGAGCTACTGGAGCTGGAGGCCAGCATGTCAATACCACAGACAGTGCTGTACGGATAGTTCATATTCCAACAGGTGCTTTTTTTTTTCTGTTAGTACAAGATCTACATTGCAAAACCACTGTCAGAATTTCTTTTGAAACGGTGGTTTTATTTTCAGACCTAGACAGCAGTAGAGCAGAGTTTTCATGTGTGTTTATAGTACTCTAAATGCACTATTGTGTACCCACTCCAATTTGTAATAGTGAAGATTACTGACTTCAGTAGATAAGCAATCCATTTTGCCATTGAGCATGACACTCTAAAAGTGTCCAGATCAATTTCTAAGAAAAAAGTTATATTTACACTTTCAAATAATGAAAAAAAAAAACTGAAAAAAAACAGAATAGGTTAAAATCTGGTTATTTGTCTTCTCTTGACTAGTCTCTGAAAGAGAGATTGCTTTATTTACATATTAAATTGTTGCTTTTCATTGTAGAGAAATTGTTCATTTTCCATTTGTCTCCTGGCTCCTTTCCCATAGATTACACACATAATTAGGAAAGCCATGCTCACAGCTCAGGTTAGGAAACATAGGAGGGATAAGATACACCTTCAAGTACTACCAGATTTTAGCTATCCTATCTTTTTTTCTTAATTGCCATTCTTAAGCTTTTTACTTTCTTTTGAGCAATCTACAACAGCTGCCTTGACTTTCATTGCTTTTTAACTTTTCCTCTCCTCTGCCACAAACATTAGTCAGGCTTTACAACCTCAGGGTAATCTTGAGTGCTCCTTATCTTTGCATATCCAGATTTTTGCCACTGATTTCTTCATTGTTATTGAAGATATTAATCCATTCTACACTTGTTGCATCACCTCAGCAAAGCAGAAGGTAAACACTGGAGAGGATAGAATTCTGTTGAAGACAAAAAAAGTTCTCCAGATTCAAAAAGCTTGGATTTCCTGCATGTTTGGAAAAAAGCCCCAAACAATAAAACCAGCAAATTATAAATTATTTTTTTGTTAAAGGTGGTTATTAGTATTTCTTACAGAAATCCTAAAGTTTTTGCACATTTTTGTTGTGGTTGCGCACTAGAGATAGTTCATAGGGGGCTTTGTGTTGCTTTATCTCCTTTATCCTCTTCCACCTTTCCCATCCTCATTCCTTTTGATTTCTTTTCCTTTACAGTTGTCCTGTTACTTCTTCTATTCCCCTCATCCTATCTATTTTTATAAATTTTCACTGCAATCTGAAGCTATTTGTAAATAAGTCTTTCATAAAGTAATACTATTCAATCTTAGAAACGCATACTGTGGTCTTAAAAGAGTTACTTAAAATAAATCCAAATAACAAATAGCTTGTGCCATCTTCTGCTTGTATTTCTTCTCCCTACTCCTTTCTTGGGCTGTTCACTTCTCATCTTAACTTGAATTTTACGTTTTGAAGGGAGAAACTGCACTTTATTAAGAAAATTGTGCCCACATTTGTATATTCTGATTATATTCTATATACTCATTATCTCTTGTATTTTATTACTCCTTAAATTCTGAATTTCCTGGAACTGTGACGAAAAGTTGCAAGTATTAAATGTGTCTTCCGTAAGTCAGCCACAATATGTATCTTTTATATCATTATTTACCCGTTTAAATTTCTTGTCCTGTGGGTCAAAGCACCTGTACCACTCAGCCTGCACTTCTCTCCAAAAACGTATCATTAAATGTTAATAAGCCTGGACTTTTACATTCCCAATCCAAAATACGTTTTGAAGAAAGAAGCAGCTTATTGTAACATAATACAAATCTTTAGAAATTGCAAAAGAATGTGTTAATGTTAAGTGCTAAATATTCTGATATTTTTTGGCAGGGATCGTGTCTGAGTGTCAACAAGAAAGATCTCAAATTAGAAACAAAGAGAAGGCTATGCAAATGCTATATGCTAAACTATACAACGCCAAGCTGGAAGAAGAAACCAAAAAGAGAAACAGTGTTCGAAAGATTCAAGTAAGTTTCACTCAGTAAAGTTATAATTCTCTATGACCGTAAGTCATTGGGGTAACTCCTGTGTTGAACTGCAAATAGTAAATGAAAGTATAGAAGAACAAGAGCCCAGGGAGGACTTGAACGAGGCAAAAAAATGTCACATTCTACTTCAGCAGTAAAGGTCTGTTAGCCAAACTTAAAATTTCAGTAGTATGCAAATTCTAGAGATCTAATGAAACAAACTGGATTACAGCAGGAAGAATGAGAATAGTATTGGAAAAAACATGCAGTAAAATTGTTCTTTAACATGTTTGAGAACAGTTACTGCAACTAGTGAACTGATCTGAGTACCAACTGAGAACTAACATATTTTGGATAAGTATGGGAGGAAGAGAAAGTTTTTGCTTTACATGCTTTATCAGTAGTTCACCCTTTTTATAAAAATATGATGATGATAAACTGATTCTTGTTTGACAGATTGGGACTAAAGGAAGGTCAGAGAAGATCAGAACATACAACTTTCCACAGGACCGGGTTACTGACCACAGGATAAGCAGATCAGTGCATCATATTGACTGTTTCATGCTAGGAGAAGAAAAGCTAGATGAAATGATACAAACTCTGAGAGAATATGCTGATTATGAATCTTTAATGGAAATTATTTCAGAAAATGAAAAAAAGACTCTATTATGAACATTGCTCTTTGTCAGCCCATTACAACAGATGTGGACTTGTGTCTGCAAAGAAGCTTCTTGGTGCACCACCCAGAAAATTCAACTGCTTTTCAGATCCTGAATGACACCACAACTTGTTTCCTCATGACTGATAAACAGTTTTCTTACTTGCTAAGTAAAAGACTTTATTACCTTTATAGGAGACATTATTGCTGAAGCAGTCCACTTAAAAAGTAAATGTATTTAAGCCGGAAGTAGCTGCAGTTTTAAACTTCCTCCACTGGGAAGATGCTGATACTGCAGTCTTGAAAGGTACGCATTAAGCAATTAGCTATTTCTAGTTAAAGTTTTAATTTAAACAATAGTTTAAGCATCAGTAGAATCTCAAATAGCTTACTTGAGAGAAAAAAACATGCTATTGTTTGAGTGATTAGAAGAAAGTAATAAATGGCAGCACTACTGATCTGCGTATTTGTTAATTACTTACATGAAAGAGAGTCAAAGTGTATCTTGTTTGTGTTTTCATGACCACCTAGCACTTATTACTAAACACAAAAAAGAATGTTTGGGAATATCCCTTGTTCCAGGAAAAGAAAAAAAACAGAGCTGTGGAAGCCAAATGGCAAGTTATATGAATTTATTTTGATTCAAAAGAGAAAAGAATCATGACACTATTGTTTGGCTGGTATTTCCATTTGGCTTCAGTTCAGTTTCTTCTTTATGTTTTTAATCAAGTCTCCATTTTTTTTATTTTTCTGAATGTTACACAGTATGAATGGCATCTCGCTGGTTTTGTCTATTTATTTAAAACATTTGATCTGTGAAAGCAAAGTAAACTTTTGCCTTTTCATTTTACCGTTGTATGTGCACATGTTTACAGCTATGGGTAAAGAAGGCTTTAATTTCTATTTTACATTACATTTTACAATCCCAAATATATAAAGAAATACAAACCCTGCAGCTTCCATGCCACATTATCCCATCATGTACTCTACATACACACAGAATGTATTTGGAGTATAAATACCAATAAGTAAGAAATTGGAAACTAGGGAAAAACATTACCGTGAACATGTGAGTGTTCATTTTCAGACTTCTAATAAAAATTAGTGTAAGAAATCAGAATATGAATAAATAATTTTGCTATAGATATTTTATAGAAATGTGTTACTTAAACATCCTCTATAAAGATCAATCAATTATCAGTTTATTATCTTTTATTACATTTTAGATTGCAGTTTGAACCACTTCATGTCAAAAAACTGCATAGAATCATTTAATACATTTATCAGCTTTGTTTTCTAGGAAATACTGTGTAGCAACTATGATTGAGTTCCAAATCTTTTAATTAAAGATGTATACATGAACTTCAGATTAGGAGCATCCATGCATAAGATTAGGCATACATATTTCCTGTTGGTAAGTGTGAGACCTGATTTACTAGCAGATCTACAACTCCCACTTGGGACCTAAGAAAGTAAAAATAAACGTTGGTGCATTTTGTATGTAAAAATAATTAGATATTGATTGGAGCAGAAATGAGGACTGAAGTCTTTATTCCTACCAAATCAGCACTGTAAATGGAAGACTACAGAGCCCTTGTGACAGTCTTCCTAACTTCACTTAAAGCCAGGCTATCTTATGCCAAGTGATGGATGGAGTTTGTGATTCCTTCTCTAACTTTAGCTTCATGTTCCTTCAGATGAGTAAGAGCCATCAGTCAGGTCTAAGCACTGGACTACTGCATGAAACTTCCCTAAGCATTGGGAGTCTTTGTCACCCTAGACCTTCTGGCTGGTGACCTGGCTGGCTACATCCTTCTGGCTCCACAGCCTGGCTGTTCTTGTCTGGCTTCTGAAACAAACACTGGATGCATTGTTGCCTTGCAAGTTGCCAGCCTCTGATCAATGTGAGAAAAGCCATGGTTCTGGCAGGAGGGTGACAGAGGTACTCCAAAACTGGCATGTGACAGTGCCATACAAGGCAGACTTTGCTATCTTGAGTGGAACCTCTGTGGCCTGTCCTGGCAAATTTTACTGGGTGAAGACTAAGTCTGGTTCTTGCTCCAAATTAATTTTAATGTGAGGTCTTCTGTCTCACTGCAAATGCAAGCTCCCTGAGTTGTTGAGAAGATTGTACTTTGAACACAGAGGGATTCCTGTGCTAGTGTCACAGTATCACAGTATGTTAGAGATTGGAAGGGACCTCAAAAGATCATCTAGTCCAATCCCCCTGCCGGAGCAGGAACACCTAGATAAGGTTACACAGGAACGTGTCCCGCTTCCCTGGCTCCCAGTAGCTCTCCCCTCCGCCCCATAACCTCGATTGCACTGCACAATACAGTTCTTCCACGGGGAGGAACTCAGATGTAGGATACACTGCGCGACTTCAGAAGCCCTTCTCCGGTAGAGGAGCTCTGCATACTCTTAGCGTGCACTCCCATTGTGCAAGGCTGGGGGCAAGATTCCAGTCACATCCATTTAGAAAAAAAAAACTCAGATGGAGCTGGGCGCCAGGCAGTGCTTAGGCTCCTGTGTTCCCCCCCACTCTCTCCAGCCCCACAGAACGGAAGTCTTGCTCCTTCAGGAGAGCGCTGGGAGACCGTTCACTGGACGGGCGGGAAAAAAAGGGGGCAGACAGGAGAATGGTGGGAACCGGGGGAGCAGGAGACCAGAGGGAAGAACCCGGCCCCGCTTTGCTGAGAGCCCCGTCTCCCGCGCTCCGCTCCGCCCCCCCCTCTCCAAGCTCCACCCCGCGGAGCGCGCGCGCGCCACCTCCTCACCACTCGCCTCTCTCCTTGCCGGCCGAGGAGGGAAAATATGATCCCGAACGGCTCCGCCCGCGGCTGTTCTGATTTGCCCCCCGCCTTCTGCCCTCCTCCCATTGGCTGGCCGCCGCCGCCAGCGGCTTCCGATTGGGCGGTGCGATTTTGGATACCAAATTCAAAGTTTAAAGTACCCGGCGAGAGCAACCGCGCGTTCACTGCCCGCGGCCGCGCAGCCCTGCAGGTGAGCGGGAGAGCGCGGCAATGGGGGGTGGGCAGCGGGACTCCAGCTTGGGGTCTCTGCAGCGGGGTCTCCGCGGGGCTCCGGGCTGAAGACTCTGCTCCAGGGTCGGCTCTGGGCAGCGGGGCTCAGGGCTCTGTGGCCGGTACTGTGGGGGCTGCTGGCGTACGTGGCGGCGGGACTGGGGGTGTTGGCGGCGCTCTGAAGGGCATCAGGCGGATCGCACACGGGGATCCCCGGTGGCCGCCCTGCCTTGCCGCCCTCCCTAGCCTTGCCCCGCAGCTATCCAGCCGGCGGTACTGGATGGATGGATGGATGGATGGATGGATGGATGGGACGGGACCGGACCGGACCGGACCGGACGGGACGGGACGGGACGGGACGGGACGGCAGCGTACGGGCAGCCGCAGAACCCCGCGGTCCCGCCACCCAGTAGCGTGTGGGACTCGGGTCCGCGCTGGGGTGGGGAGCGCGGCTCCCGCCGGCAGGCAGCGGCGGGTTTGGGAGGTGCCGCGCCGCGCTGTCTCCCGCCCGGCCACGCCGCCTGAGGGGGACATCCCCTGGAGAGCTCCTGCCCGTCCCGCCACCAGCATTTCAGGGGGATCCTCGGACGCGGGGAAAGCGGAGAACCCTGAAGGCGCAGGGCGCTGTTGAAGGGCCCGCGGGCACTGCAGGGCCGGGGTCCGATCTACCTGCAGCCCACCCGGGCCATCTTGAGTGCTGGACGGGAGCAGGCTGACAGTGCCCGGGGGGCCCGCTGCTGAGGCAGCTGGCCGGGGCACCGGGGCAGGCCCTGATGCCCCGAAACGTGGGGGAGGGGGGAAACACATTTCCCAGTTCTGCGGGGTTTCAGCCCAAAAGCTCCTCTGCTCGCTGGCGGGAAGGGGAGGAGGAGACTTAGTGAGGGTTTGCAGCTCTCCCCTAACTCCCACTGTACAAAGCCGTGAGCGTATTTGCGCATTTCTTCCCCCAAACTAAGGTACGGAGAAGGGGCTTTTAACTCTGAAACGTTTATGAAACGCTTTTTTAAAATACTTTTTCCAAAACTGTTGGAAGTGCTTAAATCTCTTGAAATACCCGCTCCTGCTTGAAATAAGGCAGATTATTTTTTTTCCCCTATAGATTGCAAAGCATGTTAAAATATTTTTCCCCTTAGATTTAACACAACGGCAATGGCTTCCTTCTCCCCTTCAGCTCTCGCCCATCCCCCCGCAATTGTTAATATAGATAGCATCACACCTCGGGGGGAGGGGAAAGGAAAATGGCAAGAAAAGGTCCGTTTCCCTATAATATCTTTTGACCCACTTAAAATCATGTTCGTAAGCAACCTTTGTTTCGCTTTGACCAGTGTTTCAAGAATGCTGCTTTCCATTCTAATTCGCACATGTATCTAAACCCTCAAGCTTTCCCTGTGACACGCAGCCTCCTCCTCTCTTAAAATGCCCCATGAGATACCTGGCTGCATGAGCAGCATTGCCTCTGGGCTTGCTTGCCAACTTCAGGCTGCACTGGCCTGGCATACCCCTACCAGGGCCTGCTGTCACCCAAGGACCCTCTGCCACTGGGCTGTCTTGCAGGGGCCACAAGTGTCCTTAGTATATCCCTGCATGTAGGGTAGGAAATGGAGGCACTAGTCTGTCTCGAAGTAATCTGTACTGGTGGAAAAGTGTAAAAAAAAAAAAAACCCACAAAAAAAACCCAACAGTAAAATCGCCCATTTGGTTTTCCCATCCCAAAGTAAAGCAGTGTAAAGCTCCAGTTTTCAGGAGATAGATTTGCATAGTGGGTCTTACAGAGCCTTAGTCCCACTAGTTGTCTGTGGTTTAGACACTGGAGGGCGACCTAGATAAAAGGTTAAAATTCATAATGCAGAAGGAAGGCATGGTTGATTCTTTATAAGAACAAGTATTTGTGGTACAGTTTAGCTGTGATGTAATGCTGTCCTTGTTTCTTGCAGGATACAAACAAAATAATGAAATCAAACCTTAACCGCTCTTTCAAAATGAAATGTGATTTTGGTTGTATGTCTCTTCATGCTGGGGTTGCACCACTGAAGTCTACTGTGGAGAAAACAAGACTAGAAAAATCCTGCCCCTTAAATTATGAGAAGGATTTTTGTAAAAGGTGTGCTGAAGAGCATCAGAAAATACTCCTTAGTGACTCATACCATGTGGCCAGCAGAAATCTATATCCTGAAGATGAAGGAAGACCTGTACATAACAAAGAAAACAAACAAGTAACCCAGAGACTTGATGATGGTATCGATGAAATGGAGGCACTGGACAACAGTAAATTTGATGAGGACAGCGGTTATTCCTCTATATTAAGTAGTCAATACACTGATGCAATAGAACATGAGGATATTATACCATTGGCTGGGAATCTCTGTGGAACACCAAAGCATTGTCTTATGAAGAACCAAAACCAAACACAGTTTTCGAAGAAAACTTTGTTGCCAGTGATCCATTATGAAGAAATGATTTGCTCAACTTTGAAAAAAGGTGGTAAAAGAAATCTCAAGTCTTGGGCTGCAGTAAACAAAATTGTTTTTATGGGAAAGATTGAACTTCGCAACCTAATTGGAAAGAAAATGGGATTAGATAGAATAGACATACTTGCTGAACTCTTCCAAAAGGACCTGAAGCATATATTAGCAAACATTTTAAGGCATCTTGGTGAGACGGACTTGATCAAGTAAGTATATTAATCTCATTGTGTTTCATTGGGAAAGGAAACAACTTAATCAGGTGGCTTAAGAACGTTTTACATATGGGGCTTGTGACATATGCTCAGTGGTCAGTACTATGTTGTAACATATTAAAATATGAACTGTCAATGTAAGCCATTATA